ACCCGGCGTCGTAAACTCATTGCGGTACCTCTGTGCGGCTTTGCTTTCTCTTTCGCGACACGTATTATCGCCGATCGCAGTTTTTCATGTCGATAATCTGTATTTTTTAGAGATAAAATCCTTGAGAAAATATATTTTATCAAAATCCTCGAGAAATGTCCTAATATATTTTATAGCATTGACGCGGACGTGACAATCATCCTGATGACTGTACATATTTGTGAAATTTATTACTGTTTATAACTGTTTATTTATCGCTTATTGATACATGTATGTATATGTATGTACAGCGAAAGTATGTATGAAATCAGAGTAATCATATACATATTTTTAATAAATATATCAATTATTCAATTTACCACTCACTATACATATATATATATATATATACATATATATATATACATATATATATATATATATATATACATACATCTTTAGAGAAAAGTAATAAATGAAAACTCAACAAAATGTACACTGGATGATAAAAGAATAGTATTTACATATAAATTTCTGCATTAATTTTTAATATTATATTATATGAGTATTTCACATAATTTTATTTATGATTTCTTATAGTATGTACAAACGGATCCGCCCACTAATAAGAGCTTAGCCACGTTGCTGGTACAGATTCTGCAGTTTCAGGAGGATAATCTTGGCAAAAATGTATCAAAGCCACCTATGACTAGGCTTCCAGTATGTAAAATATACATATTATGTAACTAATAAAACAATAACATTGTTTTATTTAACAATATCTGAATTAATTATTGATGAGTTTAATTTTTGCAGATGAAATGCTTCCTAGATTTTAAGCCTGGTGGTGGTGTGTGTCACATATTAGCTACTGCTTATCGTTTTAAGCAGGAGCAAGGATGGAGGCGTTTTGATTTTCCTGGTGGAAAAGTAATTGTTTAATACTTATTCTAGATATATATATATATATCTTTTACAGAGAAATATCTTTTTTTATATAATACTGATTTTCTTGTCCATAAAGGTTGTATAAACATAAAGCTTTTCATTGATTGGTCAATTATTATTATTACAGTCAGGGTCCCGTATGGATCGTACAGTGGACATGCTAATGGCGGCGGAACGTGCTTTAATACAGAATAGATGTATGACTGTACCAAGTATTTTCGTGAGACCGGATGTTGACAAGAATACAGCTGCAAAAGTAAAAGATGTAGTTAGAAAGCATCAGGGCACTGTCGTGGAGAATGAGACAGATGCTACACACATTATCTATCCTCCAGTAGATCCGATGGAAGAGGAATACGCACGACCTTGTATGAGACGCGAACGATCGGTTCTAATTCATTGGTACTACTTTCCAGACAGCTATGATTCCTGGTCAACACTGGATCTTCCATGGGACTATCCCGAAGGAACTTATACAAACACAAATTCAAGGTGCTTAGACATTAATAATCTTTTAATGTAAATATTATAATTGATGGAAATTAATAATTCAAATTAATTGATATTGTTTACCAGTATAATGTGTTGAAAGCGTTGCTGGCAAAATATTTCTACTTATTTAATTCATATGTAAATGGTAAATTAATATATTAAATAAATGTAATCTTTTTCTAGATCAATGTATAAAGTATCGGCTACATGGGCGTTAGACTTGGATCAATATAATGAGTGGATGAATGAAGAAGATTATGAGATAGATGATAACGGTCAGAAGAGAGTACACAAATATAGGCTTTCGGTGGAAGATTTGATGGCACAACCGTCTCATCCACCGCCTGCGAAGAAACCTAAGAGGAAACGATCACCCAGCCCACCTCCAAAACTCGGCAAACGTAAGAGGTATGGACGTCTCTGATAGAAAATTCAAATTATACACAGGACTTTGCTCATCTTCGAATTTGTACGTTATCGTTTTTAGTAGCAGAGCACCGTCAGGTATCCAAAGTGCTTCCTCCGCGTCATCGGCGACAGCTCCGAAGAAATCGCGCGGCGGTGAAGAAGAGGAAGATTTAACTCAGGGAATGGAGGATCCGCCTGCAGAACCCCGTATTGTCGAGGTGGTTGCTACGCCCACGAATCCACCAATCACAGGTCAGGGTAATGCAACAACGGGTAACTCCACATTGACATCTACCGGTAGTAAAAAGCAAGACAGCGAGCTTCAACCTCTTAAATCTGGCAACTTGACCGATCTTGACGAACAAATGGAAGGTATACAAACAAATCTAGATAATGAAACTTAGATCATGAATGTAATATTATAACGCGATAAACATTTTTAACGTCAGATCAATAATTTAAAAAATTTTCAAGTTAAATGTTAATTTGGTAAATTCTGAATTAAAAACTGTCGATATCGCAGGAGACAAAGGGAGCTCTCAAGGTGGTCAAGATAGAGAAGAAAGAGACACTAGTAAAGAAAGAGGTGAAGGTGGCAAAGGTGATGAACCGGAAGATAATGTGACGGAACAAACGCATCACATCGTTGTTCCTAGCTACTCTGCCTGGTTTGATTACAATTCGATTCATACCATAGAGAAGCGGGCTCTATCAGAATTCTTCAACGGTAAAAATAAGTCCAAGACTCCAGAAATTTACCTTGCTTATCGGAATTTTATGATCGACACTTATCGATTAAATCCAACTGAATATATTACATCGACCGCGTGCAGGTAATATATGTAATATGTTTAATTTACATTTTAATAATGTATATAAAATTATAATTTTTATTGTTAAATATAAAAATAAAAAAGATGGTTTTTCCCTTTATGTGTGTGTGTGTGTGTGTATGAAAACATTTTTACAGGCGAAATTTAGCAGGAGATGTATGCGCGATTATGCGTGTGCACGCGTTTTTAGAGCAATGGGGACTCATTAACTATCAGGTAGACGCAGAATCCAGACCGACACCAATGGGACCTCCACCAACGTCACATTTCCATGTTTTGTCGGACACGCCATCCGGTTTGGCACCAGTCAATCCGAATCCGCCGAAAACACCACAACCATCCGCTGCGAAGATGTTGCTCGACTTGGAGAAAAAACCAAACATAACGGGAGCCCTGGGAATAGAAGAAAAGGCTTCGGCGGGCGCAATGGCAAACTTCGGTCTGAAAATCGATCAGTATTCGAGGAAACCGGCAGTACTGAAGAACAAGCAAGCGGCGGGTGCGACACGTGATTGGACAGAACAGGAAACACTTTTACTATTGGAAGGATTAGAATTGCACAAGGACGACTGGAACAAAGTATGCGAACATGTGGGATCGAGAACGCAAGACGAGTGTATCTTGCACTTCTTACGTTTACCTATAGAGGATCCATATCTGGAAGAAGGCGGGCCTGAAGGATTGGGTCCTTTGGCTTACCAACCCGTACCATTCTCGAAAGCTGGTAATCCTGTTATGAGTACAGTCGCCTTCCTTGCATCAGTCGTGGATCCTAGAGTTGCCGCGAGCGCAGCAAAGGCAGCTATGGAAGAGTTTGCTGCAATAAAGGATCAAGTACCAGCTGCCTTATTGGACCAGCATTTAAGGAACGTTCAAGCTAGTGCCAGTTCCGACGGTAATTCTTGTAACTCTATACTATAAATTAGAAATTAATAACTTAATTTTAAGGCAATGCACACATAATAATTATTAAGTAGATAATAAATATCAATTCTTCATTTTTATATAGGTAAATATGATCCATCGGCCGGTTTGGCACAATCGGGTATCGCTGGTACAGGACCACCTGAACCACCTGACGATACATCAGCTTCTACCACGACCCCGTCCGTACCGGCGGGTGCAGCTAGCTCTCCTCATTCCACAGCTCCTACTCCTGAAGCAAAAAAAGAAGACCAAGATAAATCTAAAGACGCCATGGATGTTGAACCATCTCAGATAGAAGTCACCAAGAAAGAGGACGAAACAAAAGAGGGCGAAGAGGACACAAAGTCCACCACTGATCCAGAGGCTGCTGAAGCAAAAGAAAAGAAGGATAAAGTAGATATCACAGTGACATGAATTAATTTGCATGTTATAAAAAAGAAAATATCAAAAATTTTAAATAAGTGATAGAATACCATGAGTTTAAACTTAATTTTTTTACAGGTTGTAAGGGACGCTCAGCTTCAATCTGCGGCAGCAGCAGCGCTAGCGGCTGCGGCTGTTAAGGCCAAACATTTAGCAGCTGTGGAGGAACGTAAAATCAAGTCATTGGTCGCATTACTAGTCGAGACGCAAATGAAAAAGCTAGAAATCAAGCTACGTCACTTCGAGGAATTGGAAACTACAATGGAGCGTGAACGCGAGGGTCTTGAGTATCAACGGCAGCAACTCATCACCGAGCGACAGCAGTTCCATCTCGAGCAGTTGAAGGCAGCCGAATTCAGGGCGCGACAGCAAGCCCACCAGCGATTGGCTCAAGAACAACAGCAACAGCAGCAGCAGCAGCAACAAAATCAACAACATCCACCATGGCAACCGCCCGGTGCACAGCAACAGCAGCAGCAACCGCCAAGTCCACAGGCTCAACCGCAACAACAGCCGCCACCGCACACGCCGCCACAGCAGACATAACTCTTTCGTGAGTTTAAATCTTTAAATATGTAGTAGTTAAATAAATCATATAAACTTTTACAAATTATATAATACATTATTAACGTTGTTTCTTGAATCTTCCTTGTTTTTTCGTTTTTATTTGTTTTTCTATTATTCGTCTCCAAATTTAATTTCCACGATTACATATACAAAATAATTTTGCGTGATTTCGAGACATTTTCGTGCCTTTAAAAGGAATAAATAGTTTGGAGAAATTTCTTTATATATTTTTTTGATTTCTATTACGTATTGAATCATATATGGAAAGAAATTATTTTCACAACTATGTAAAAAAAGGAAGATTTCTCGCGGAACAAAATCACCTTTTTTTCAATGTGATACATTACGAGAGTTGTAAAAGACTTACACACTTGATAAATATTATACATATTATTACATACATCATTGTCAATCAATGTGAAACCTTATCTACAAAGCTTCGTTATCTATCAATTCCAATACTAAATCAGTCATGAGTCGGGCACATTCGGCGCCTCCGGGTGGTGGTGTTCCTGCAGTATTATGTTTTTCCTCGCTAGTTTCCGTGCTACTTGTTTCGTACAGATTCGGTGCTTCGTCACTGGCACATGTACTAATCGGTAAAATGTCCAACGCCAATCCCAATCCGAAACGTCCACATCTCCTCATCTCTTCTTTTAATCTACAATCATTAAATAGACAACAATATTAAAAAAGTAATCAAACCATCCTATATTTTTAAACTTACAACATATCCGTTTTACAAAAAAAAAATTGATATTAGATTTGCATATAAGCTTTTCGATTAAATGATAAATTACTTATAAAGTGTAAGCAATGAATTTATTATAGTTTTGTTATATACATGACTGAATCTCGACGATTTACTTACAATTCCCACATGATAGATGGATCTTTTGGCGGCTGTTCTGGATTTAGGATGCGCAAGAAGGACATCAGATGAGAATGATAGTGCTGGAGAAGCTGTGTCATGTAAGCCCGCCTAACAACACCACTCGTGCAGCAGTATAGCAAGTTCGCAAGATCAAGAGCGAGTGAACCGACCCGCGTCAGTTGAAAATCAACTAGATAAACGGCCTGCAGAAGCACAGTATTAAAAATCAAGTCTAGGAGGTTTCGCAGTGAGACGCATTTCACATTCGTGACAGCTAACATTATCAATCTCGAATGTGATTTATAGATCGTAATGCGGGGTAAATATTCTTGCATCATATATTGCATATTTTATTTGCATCATTTATTTGCATATTTTAAATGGTCGTGAATTTGTTCTGCCCAATGGATGAAAAGCTTAAATGATTGAAAAAGAATATTAAGTATAAATATATCAATTATTATATATTATACATATTTTTTGAATTTTTTTAACTTTCGGGCATTATGTAATTTTGTTTTACAAATAGATAATTAAAAATAATTAAATATTGATATTTCTAACAGTCGACGTTTAATTATCTTTAATTGTCTATTTATTTATCTTTATTAGATGTAATTATACGTAATGCAAGAATCTTTATGACCGGCTACATGAGTCTAGGTGTGATCACTTTCACTAAACCAGAGTCTTTTTAATAAGATCGCAAATGGAAGAAACATTTAAATCATATAAGAATCTTATAAATTTATATAATAAAAATGTATGGAACAACAAAAGAGAGTGGTTTCTCGTTTCGTTATCTCGAGTAAATGATCTGAAAAAAAAAAAAGAAGATGATTATCACCATTTGACGGTAATCATCTTTTACTGAATACATGCAACCTTTTATTGTAGATATTATCGGACATGCAATGTGTATTGCGCTTTTCTAATTTACTTTTCTTACAAAATAAAATATTTACCTCTGTATCTGAGCTTGGTTCATCCTGAAAGAGGAAATTATTGGTCCAACAATCACCGTGACAAAATACGGAGAGAGGTCCTTGCGCGGAGACGAGTTCGCTCATAGTGCGAAAAAATACGTCCTCATTTAGGAAAGCTTGCAACTTTGTCATTACTTCCTGTCTTCTGTAGTCCATGTGCGAAGGAAGTGCTTCAGACACCATCATGATGGCGTTATTCACGGCCACGCGATAATACTGACGGTACCAATCTTCGTTGTCTCGTCGAAATAACGTTTCTTTTATAGCTTGATCATGTTCCGGATTCGTTAAATTCGCGAATTCTTCCGGCCTTTAAAAAGTAACACCTTTTTACATTTACAAATTTTTACATTTTACAAACCAAAAGACGAGGATATACCGAAATAAAGTAAAAAAAAAACATACAAAAAAGGAAATTGTTTTTTATCATATTTTCAACGATTCTTAAATATTTTATATAGAAGTCTACTTCTAAAAAAAAACCTGATAAATTGTCCCCCCCCCCCCCCCCCGGACATATTTACCTGGATTCTTTTAATGTCAAGCTAAGCGCGTGAAAGCCTGCTAGAGCCTGCAACACGTGCTCTAGATTCTCCACTTTTAATCCTTTCCGTCTGTCTGCCATTTTAAAACCTCTCTGTCTCAAATCTTCCATGGCAATAAGATCGGCTCTAGCGGCGTATATCTTGGGTACTCCGCTGAATACTCTTTTACCGTTCGATTGCAGCCTATTCAGCGCGGGCCATACATGTTTATAAAACACGACTTCATTCCTGAATAGTAACTCACTTTTAAATGCCTCACGACGTTTCTTGGATTCCGGCAATATCTTGTAAATGATAGCACACTCGTAATTAATGTATTCCTCGTTTTTTAACAGTTTGCGCCCCTTTGCCCGAATCCGGTACAACATCGAAGTATAGTTATCTCCTCGTCCCGATCCTGGTTCTTCTTCTAAACTATCAATCTCTACGTTAGGCTCATCTTCGGTAATTAATTCACGGATATCGTCAAGCATGAGTCTATTGCTACTATCGCCACTGCTATCCATCATTCTTACTGATCTTTACAACAATGATTCCGATATCTTTTCGATTTTTTTGAATGGAATCCACTTTAACATCCTATACTTCACGATAGACCAGAGTTGTGCCGACTGACTCAGGAAATGGGTATTTGAGCGACTGGAGCGGTTGGAGGGTTGCTATCTCCCACCGTTACTGACTTAATTCATTAATGATTTACGCCCCCCAACTCTAAAAGACAAGGTCATTGATACATGTCAATCATATGTCTCATCGTTTAAATTCCTCGCTTTGATTCTTTAAAACGTGGCGCGAGTTCGTCGCGCGGTATATGGAATAATGATAATAGAGAGCTTTCTTTCAAATTGATATTACAATTTTGTATAATAGAGGAGAAAATATATATAAATAATACATATAAATATTCTCAAAAAGATTTCTATATTTTCTATATTTTATAATACAGACTTTATTTCGAAGAGACTAATTCTCATCAGAGATCTGTAATTGGAGAACCTCGTTACCTACTAAACTAGCCAATATATTTTCTTGATTGGGGGTAAGGGATAGAGTTTTGTATATCTTTCCAGCCATTTCTCCGGCTCCTTCTAGACTATGGAAAGTGACGTATTCCAAAAGTGTCTAGAAGCAAATGCAAGGATGTTATAATAAAACAATTGACAAGAATGTAACAAGTAAAAAGAATGTATATACTTACGAAAATTGCCGGCACATATGCTTGTGCTAAACACAGTTCGAATATTTCGTTTATATGCTCTGTTGTAATGATTTGACCATTCTTAATAAAGTACGGTGAACGAACTAATAACGATATAATTTCTATCGTTTTGGTAAAATTATTTCCACGTAGCAACAACAGTATGATATCGCCTATTACTGTGTTAGATACCAAAACGTGCTGTAGCCTTTTAGAATTCTGAGTCTGTGTTTTTAAAAAAGACAATCATATATATTATTTTAATATATTTGATGTGATTTGAATATATTTGATTTGATCATAAAAATAAGATAATAATTTAAAACTTAAATTTTTGTTTCGATAGATTCCCGATTTAATTTAAAAAGGACATGATGTTTCTTCTTCCTCAATCATACATCATTCGGAAGATATTAATATATGGACAAATATGTTAAGCCTTAAAGACTTATTCCAAATTTGTCACAGAATCTATTATTAAATACAAATTATGAAATGCCCTATAATTAAAAATGATTTTAATTACTTGTACATGATCCCAGATAGTCAGTGCCATCTCTGCGAATTGCGCATTCAATGGAGAATCAGACACGGGTTTACAATGTACGCTCATCAAGTGCAATATGTTCTCCAATAACTCTTCCCTGTTCAGATGACCGAACACGATCATGTGCGACCACAGTTTTGGTATATATTGCGTGGCAGTCTGCGCGGGATGTAATTTAAGAGCTTCTAATATAGCATTCATCACGGCAGGTTCCGGTATAGTCACGTGCGGTACAAGTTTGCTATAGAGCTTGAAGAATGTCTCAAATTCTTCCGTTGCCAAAATTAATTCCAAATACATTCGGTAATAGATATGTTCCTGAGGAAAGATATAAGCATAATATAAATGCTTAATATAAATACATAATTATCGATCATTAGCATAATTTTAAGAATAGCTGCAGACTGCGTAGTATAATGTAATGAAAAAATCCAGGTTTTTTATTTTGAGAAATTACTTTAAATATTTTAACACTCTCGATAAACATCATAAATCCTATCTAAATGATGCTATTAAAATATCCACTGAAATTAAGAGATTTTATATATAAAAAGAATGATATTAATTTAACTCTTCATATATAGTTTTTATATTTTATTACAAGAAAACAAGATTAATTCACGGTATGTGTTTTCTAGATAGAATGCTCTGTGTTGAGAATTTAAGAAACTTACTCTTATATTGTTATTGATAAACTTGTAGTTTTCACCGGTAAGAAGAAGCTCATTCACCATTTCACCTGCTTGACGATCACAGAACTGCTGGGACGCCATTTCCATTGCGACAACGAAGAAATTTAAATCTTTCTCATTTTGAATAGTAATGGTTTCATTCTTCAAACACGTCAAAATTTGTATAAAGCTGTTATATGACGCATCACCTGTTTCAGCAAATAAACGTTCACTCGTAAACATTCATGAATATAAAATCTTTGCAATGTAAGAGAATATGTAATTACCGAATCTACTTAAAATTCGCAGCAGATAATAATATGTAGTTAACGACGGCTTCAGTTTGAATTTTGTAATATCAGCGAGTATCTTGCGTGTAAAATTTAGAACTACTTGATTGGTTTTTAAAGTAGTTACTACATTAAGGGCGGCATTAAAGGTATGTATGTTTGGAGTAATTCCGTTTGTAATCATTGCTTTGTAAATATCAGTTACTAGCGATTTTGATTTAAAATCCTGTTCTTGCCTTAGCATTGATACTAATGATATCATAGCATTGTATCCATCGGCAGATAACGGTATATTTTTTCCTTGACTTTCATCATATAAGTGCCAAGCCCTTTCCGGCTAAAAGATTATATCAAATTTTTGTTGAAATTTATAATAATAAAGCTCTAAGGTATAAAATAAGAAAAAAGAAAATTAGAATCAAAGTGTGTAGTCGACAGCAAATAGATTAAATTTAGCTAATCTATTCACTAATTGGACGTAATTTTGATTTTGATAGTTTTTATTTTTTCACATCTGCTGAAGAATCCTAATTTTGGATCAAAACGTACATTTATTGTAAAGTTATCCAATCATCAGATAGGTTTTAATTTTCCTTTTTCTTCTTTTTGTCGTAATGTGTTATTATATTTCAAATATTCCTTTTAAGAAGTAGCGAGTTACTTTTTAAATCCTTAATTAAGTTGCTAAGTTTCATAACTTAATTAAGTTATGAATGATTTAAGAGTTATCTTACACTGAAATGTTTAGCCAAACCACATATCATCGCGGTGTACGCAGCAGCTGCTATTTTGGGTTCTTGTTCCTTCAGAAATTCGAACAGTACATCGATTTGTGAGTAACTTCTGTAAATCGCGATAAAATATAAAGTATTATTTTAAGAATAAAGAAAATACATATTCATAGGCAAAGGAAAAAAAATGTATTCAATTTTCATACTCACATCCAAGTATTCTTTTTACGTTTTTGATCGAGTTTATACCAGCGAGTCTCCAGCCATTCGTCGATTCGTTCACTATTATTGTAAAAACATAACAATTCCAACAGTGCCTGTTTTGTTGGTATTGTCATCTCACCTTTTAATAAATCGTATATCGTGATACAGTTAGCAATATTACCATTTGATATTTCATATAATAATGTTTCTTCTGTCACTTTACTTTCTTCAGTATAAATGGGGAGTGGTACAAATGCCTGCAAAACAAATAATATGATATAACATGTTAACTGAATTTAAATATTAATAAAAAACATTATTGATACTATATGAACTAACAAACAAAAAGAAGGATTTAATTTATGCTTGATTAATGACCTTAATTTCAGGATCTGCTACTTTATGCTGAAATAAATCGCAGTGTTCCTGACGAACCCACATTGCGGTCCTCCTTCCAGACTCCTTTGCTAAAGCGTACGAGCGATTATGCACTTTTGATTGAGGTATCAAGAAAGGATCGTCATGAAACTTATAATGTGGCGCCGTGTAATCTCTGGATATCGTACTTTCCAAAGCCTATAAAACAAATTGTATGAAACATTTATCAAAGCATCGTTCAAACAAATTTACTTCTACTTTCAGATGTAAAAGAATAATTTTATTTACCTTCAAAATATCTGTTGGACCTCGTTCTATCCTGTTTGGAATTTGAATGTCTGAGGCCGATGTTGTGGTTGTTGATTGCAATCGCACAATCAACTCCTGGTACAGTTTCCTACAAATGTTCAAAATACGAATACAAAAATATTGACTTGTTATACTCTCATTCACCATTAACCCAGTCACATGTATTTTTTTTAGGGGACAGTCAAAATTTCAACAATTAAAGTTTTCCTCTGTATAAAAAGAAAACAATATAATATCCTAGTTCAAAAATATTTAGAATACAAAGATGTAAAACAATAAAAAAATGTTTCCGACTTTTCACAACTAATTTAGTAGGAGAAATTTGGTACTGGTATGAAAGACCTATGGTGCAGACGATGTTAGTGAAAAACAGTGATATAGACAGAGGATTAAGTATCCTTTTAGAATTGTTTTCAAAAACAAATGTATATTCTTAAATAAGTGTTTCGAGTACTCTTGTCGTATATCATATAACAAAGTCTAGCAATTTCACTCAAAAAAGTAATTGATCTACGTACATGAACAAAGTTAAATGAATTATAGTTCATTACGTACCCACGAACAATTCTTGATAAAGAATTCATGATGCTAATGTAAAGACGAAGGAAATTAATCCTTTTTCTTCTTACAATCTTTACAGTTACGAGTTTGAGGTTAGATCATTGCAGATCATTGGCGTAAGATTAGGTTAGGATTAAATGCGACACCGCATGCATGGTGATGTAACGATTAAATGAACTTTCTGATAAATCACCAACAATCTAATTGTTTTTTTTCCCCACATGTGTGAAACAATAATTTTATCCTGGTTAACAAAATAATACAAATTTGATCAATTGAACTCTGATTTCTAAATAATCAGATTTTGATCTAAATTAATCACCCCAAAAGATCAACAACATACTATAGAGTATAGACTGTATAGAGTATTTAGACGTCTCTTTCTCTGTGTCTCAAAATTAATATTAAAATATTCGAAATTAATATCAATAAACAGCTTCTCAGTCAGTTGAGTCTGTCGAAAACAAATTTTGTCAAATGCTGCTACAAATTTTTTTCAACAAAAAGACATCAATATTTCATGCAAATTCTGTTATATTCAGTGTCAACAAATTGGTAACAATAAATCTGCTGAGAACAAATTGTCGACAAAAACCATGCTTACTGATAGTAAATTGACAATTTGTTTGGTTTAATTCTGTCATGATGGAAGGGATTCTTACACCATGCTCTCGCTTAAGTTTTATCAGCAAGCTACGAAAAAATAGTTAATTAGATGTAATTTGCTAAAATTGTTGATCTCTCTCTCTCTCTCTCTCTCTCTCTCTCTCTCTCTCTCTCTCTCTCTCTCGAAAATTTTCCAATAATTTGTTAGTAATGTTCTCAGGAAAATGATTAACATTTTACTAACTGGGTTTAAATAATATATATATGCTTTGTCTGTTGCTTTGTCTGCTGAATGCAGTAGCCATTGGTTC